ACTACGTGCCATTCACTGTACAGAAAATACTAATTCTGTGGACAAGTGACCGATTTCAGCCGTGGCTTCAGCGTCTATTTTATAGTGTAGGGGGCGGGTGCTTCGGATTCTAGAGAGCATTTGATTGGACAGAAAGTTTGATGAGAAGCTGAAGTACGATGTGACGTCAAAAAAATCGTTGAGCCGTTTTGGCAGAAGTGACGAACTACAAGCTTTGTATGCTTATATCTTCGAAATGCGAATTTTGTCTCTGTTTTGGAGTACACTGCCTTATAGATAACCTTAAGACTAACATACTGATACTAACACCCAAAAAACTTTAATTTTGATTTCATGGGGACTTTAAGTAACTGGAACTAAACGAGGATAATCAGGGGAACACAGGTGAATCAAATGAACACAATCAGACACGGGAGAAACTGGGTCACGGGGAGCACATGGGGAGCAAATCAAACACACTGACAGTCCATGGGCATGACAATAATGATCATAATTCTAATTAATAATTGAGTTTTTAAATATGTGTATATATATGTATATATATATATAATATCTAAAATTAATTTTTTTTTTTTTTTTTTTACAATTATTCAATTACAAAATTCGTATGACCCTTATTGAAAGTTCTTTGTGCTTTAAAGTGTCTTTGGTGTACAGTAACTGATGTATTTTTTGTAACAGTGTCTTAGTATGCGCTGATAGAAGAGAAGGGAGATGAGCTATAGGTCAGTGCCGAGCTGTAATTATTTCCCACTTCATTAGGTCCAAGTAAACCGTCATACTTTGTGCTGCAATTAGCTCAATGCCCTTGAGTTTAGAAATTGTCTTAGGATGAGGGCTAACATGATGGGCAGTAACCCTACAGGCAGCTACTGACCTCTGAGCTGCTTCATATGAATTCATCATGGTCACATGTCCATTACATCACAAAGAGGTAATAATGTTATATTAAATCAGTGCTTATAGCAGCAATGTTATTTTAGTATTATTTATATACTCTTATAGTAATATTGACATTTTGAATTAGCATTTATTTTTATATTTTTAGCTTTTATTTTAATTTTAGTCATTTTGTTATGTGCTTGATGTTAGTTTTTCTGTTTAGCTTTTTTATTTCAGTTTAGTCATTTAAGTACTTAAACTTATTTCAGGTGTAAAGTAATTTAACCTTATTTATACAGTTTTTTTTAGTTTTAGTTTAACAGCAACAACACTCTTTACAAACAGCTAAGCAGTTAGTTGAACTACATTTCTCAGTAGCAAGATGGTAGCATCGCTCATTATCAGTATCAAAGCTATATTTTGAAGTAGCAAGGTAGCACTGTTACATTTTCCCTATTAATATTTGAACAATCAAATCATGTTTTAGAGAGTTCGCTCACACACTGAATCATCTGAAGCAGTTTCACATTTATTAAAACAGTAAAAGGAATATTTTAAAACACAAGAGGACAAAATGAGCACTGGATGAAATGGAATATTTACCTACAATCAACTGAAGCCAAACCTGCAAATGCATCCTATCATTTGCCAGCGATTAAAAAGCTCTTTATTAAGATCAACACCTGCAGCTTGTGAATGCCTTAGTAGTGCAGATAAAGACATTTTCCCACCAAAAGAGTACTGAAGCAGGTGCACAAAAACACCAACAGTATCAGAAATTACCTTGACTTTTTGAAAGGACATTTTGAGATATTTGAATTTATAGTACTGTATCATATAAATAAGACTCAACTGAAATATCTTTTTCTGTCATAGAGCTTTTGTGCTGTTGTTTTCTACTAAACATATCAAATTACAGCAAGCATGAAGGTCACCCCTAAACATAACTGTCACTGAAGTGTAAGCAGATTGTTTGAAAACATACAAATGACATTGGTGGGTAATTTGTATGAATTCATACAGAGCGTGAAATGGTTATGAACTGCCATGAGATCTTGGGACTCAAACACCTTTTGAAAAAAGCAGCTTAAACTAGCCTGAACTGGTTTGATGGTTTGCTTGGAGACCAGTTTAAACCACCTAGGACCAGCACGAGTAACTGTTGTCTAGCTCATGTCATCTATAAATAAATAAATGTGGCAAACCCCAAATAAAAAGCATTTAATTTTCACATGGTGAACAAACTGTCATGCAACCCTGTGTTTTATATCCTGTTGTGATTTTGGACGTCACACACAGAATGTGCCCTACGCACGCTGTATTAAGCATGAGTGCTCGGTGTGCACTCAAAAGACCTGTCTCCCACAATAAATGAATGTGAAATTTGTCTGGAGGTGACGGTATCATTCCTCGTGACCCTCCTCCCTCTCTTGGTGGCACAGTGTTATTATGAGCAGACCGGGATGGAGAGAGCTCGCTTGTTATGACTGACATGTCACTCTTGCGGCCGTTCCCAGGTGAGGCGACTATCGAGGAGTTATACGACAGGATGTTCACTGTCACCAGCCGGCTCAGGCTCACCGTCTCCAAGGAGGACGATGGAGTGGCCGTCATCTGCATCATTGACCACCCAGCCGTGAAGGACTTCCAGGCCCAGAAATACCTGGAAGTGCAGTGTGAGTCATCTTAAGATGAGGAGAAAACTTTCAGCTCTACAATAGCCTCGGTTTAATCTTCCCACCTGTCAATTTGACTGGCATTGTAATGAAAGAAAGAACCATTTGTTACACAATTAGACTGTTTATTAGGAAATGAACAGGAATGAAGGCTAGGATTTAGCTTTACAGGAATAGTTCACCAAAAAATGAAATGATTGAAATGATTGTTACATTTGTTTTTGTTTGTGGAACACAAAATGAATTATTTTCCACAATTAGTGGAAACCGTTTCTAAAGAAATTAACATGAGTGAATAGTCAATAGTCAGTAGTCAATTTAACACGATTGAAAACGAGGCTGTGAGGGATAGACTTACACTCTTTACAATGGCACACACTGTATTAAGGTACTAGACTGTATTTTTTTTTTTTGTCTGTTGAAAGTTTTTTTCAGAAATATGTTCCGTCAGCTGAACAATCGGTATGTTGTTAAACAACAGTACAATCCATTGAACACACTGTATTTCAGTCCCTCACAGCCTCGTTTTCATTCCTGTCAAAAATTAAATGTCACTAGTCTGACTAAAGTCTATAGTTCACATTTTTAAGCATCTCCATGCAGCTGTTCTCATAAATGACAGTTTATAGTGACCACACAGCTAAGCTCCAAAAATGAACAGCATTAAAGTAGTCTGTATAACTCATACACTCGTACAAAATATAATTTTGAGACATATGATAGCTTTATGTGAGGAACACACTGAAATTTGTTTTTATTCATCGATAATCCTCCCCTCTAGTGAGCTATAACCTGATAACTGAGTTCAGATCAGTGAGCAAATCATTTTTCAGTGAGCCGATTCTTTTCAATGAATCATTCTTTCATCTTTCAGACTGAACGATTTGTTCATGAGTCAGAGTTCAACTCTGTGACTTAGTGATCCGGTCGGTGTTTACAGCTCACTGGAGGGGATGATTATGCGAATAAGAGGTTAAATGTCTCCCAAAGATATTATGTGGATTCAGAAGATGTGGAATAAAGTGCATGAATCATATGGATTTTTCTAATGGTGCTTTTTTAACGTTTATGTGTCAGTGATCACTATAAATTAGAGAAGATCCATTTTTAGTTGTTCTACAGAAGAAATAGTCACATGGTTTTAGAGCAAAAGAAATCAAGTGAGTAAATAATGATGGAAATTCAATTTTGGGGTGAACTATTCCTTTTAAACCGGCCGAGGTCTAGGCATTTGCTTTAATTAAAACAGACCCTTTCTTGTTATGCGTAAGCATGAAATGCTGTCCGCCAAATAATGCATTGATTAAGAGCGTTTGCCGCACTCTTTTTTGTTGCACGGGATGTCCTGGAAAGGTTAACCTACCCTTTTGTAATCTTGGCAGAATATTAATTTATTCAGATAGCTTACTGCTCAGGGTGACCTTTGAGAAGAAAAGGCAGGAGGGATCAGCTCAACTGTAACAGCTTGACATTTTGACTAACATAGATAAAAGAGAAGAAGAAAAAACATTTTACAGTACTGTTAAATTGACTGTTTAAATTCATAGCAGTGTCAGAATTCCTCACACGCTTTTCGCAGTGTCATGTTCACACACTTGTAGGCTCACTGGGTTGACTTAATATAGTGTAACGTGAAAAGTGAAGCTCAGAAGAGCAGCTAAGATCTGCCGCCTTCGTTGTACAGGTCTTTGTATTAAGCATGAATACATAATACACATGAATGTATCAATGTGAATGCACAAATGATGTCCAAACCTGCCGGGATGTTTTCTAATCAGACTGAGAGGCAGGTATATGGCCTTAGAATGATAATTAGATGGATACAATAAGGGGTCCAAGCTGAATCCACGTCCTGCAGTGCAACTGGTAGTTCACCAAAAAATGAAATGATTGAAATGATTGTTACATTTGTTTTTGTTTGTGGAACACAAAATGAATTATTTTCCACAATTAGACCGTTTCTAAAGAAATTAACATGAGTGAATAGTCAATAGTCAGTAGTCAATTTAACACGATTGAAAACGAGGCTGTGAGGGATAGACTTACACTCTTTACAATGGCACACACTGTATTAAGGTACTAGACTGTATTTTTTTTTTTGTCTGTTGAAAGTTTTTTTCAGAAATATGTTCCGTCAGCTGAACAATCGGTATGTTGTTAAACAACAGTACAATCCATTGAACACACTGTATTTCAGTCCCTCACAGCCTCGTTTTCATTCCTGTCAAAAATTAAATGTCACTAGTCTGACTAAAGTCTATAGTTCACATTTTTAAGCATCTCCATGCAGCTGTTCTCATAAATGACAGTTTATAGTGACCACACAGCTAAGCTCCAAAAATGAACAGCATTAAAGTAGTCTGTATAACTCATACACTCGTACAAAATATAATTTTGAGACATATGATAGCTTTATGTGAGGAACACACTGAAATTTGTTTTTATTCATCGATAATCCTCCCCTCTAGTGAGCTATAACCTGATAACTGAGTTCAGATCAGTGAGCAAATCATTTTTCAGTGAGCCGATTCTTTTCAATGAATCATTCTTTCATCTTTCAGACTGAACGATTTGTTCATGAGTCAGAGTTCAACTCTGTGACTTAGTGATCCGGTCGGTGTTTACAGCTCACTGGAGGGGATGATTATGCGAATAAGAGGTTAAATGTCTCCCAAAGATATTATGTGGATTCAGAAGATGTGGAATAAAGTGCATGAATCATATGGATTTTTCTAATGGTGCTTTTTTAACGTTTATGTGTCAGTGATCACTATAAATTAGAGAAGATCCATTTTTAGTTGTTCTACAGAAGAAATAGTCACATGGTTTTAGAGCAAAAGAAATCAAGTGAGTAAATAATGATGGAAATTCAATTTTGGGGTGAACTATTCCTTTTAAACCGGCCGAGGTCTAGGCATTTGCTTTAATTAAAACAGACCCTTTCTTGTTATGCGTAAGCATGAAATGCTGTCCGCCAAATAATGCATTGATTAAGAGCGTTTGCCGCACTCTTTTTTGTTGCACGGGATGTCCTGGAAAGGTTAACCTACCCTTTTGTAATCTTGGCAGAATATTAATTTATTCAGATAGCTTACTGCTCAGGGTGACCTTTGAGAAGAAAAGGCAGGAGGGATCAGCTCAACTGTAACAGCTTGACATTTTGACTAACATAGATAAAAGAGAAGAAGAAAAAACATTTTACAGTACTGTTAAATTGACTGTTTAAATTCATAGCAGTGTCAGAATTCCTCACACGCTTTTCGCAGTGTCATGTTCACACACTTGTAGGCTCACTGGGTTGACTTAATATAGTGTAACGTGAAAAGTGAAGCTCAGAAGAGCAGCTAAGATCTGCCGCCTTCGTTGTACAGGTCTTTGTATTAAGCATGAATACATAATACACATGAATGTATCAATGTGAATGCACAAATGATGTCCAAACCTGCCGGGATGTTTTCTAATCAGACTGAGAGGCAGGTATATGGCCTTAGAATGATAATTAGATGGATACAATAAGGGGTCCAAGCTGAATCCACGTCCTGCAGTGCAACTGGAAATTAGTGTGTTTGTGTTTTTGTTGTGTCCAATGCACAGATAAACCAGAAGTGCAGATTGTAGTGGAATTCCCAGAGGGTTTGACCAGAGAAGGGGAAAATCTCGAGCTGACATGCAAAGCTAAAGGAAAACCGCAGTGAGTCCAACGCTGGGCCCTCAGGGCACTTTATTCATTTCATATGAAATTGTTTGGTTGCTTTATCAGGCAGATAATACAGATGATAACAAGAATAACTTGGATAGACAGACAGGTATCCAAATATGTACATGGTTTGGTGTTGATATTTCACTTATTTTGTATTTGTTTTGTTTTTTGTGTTTCTGATAATTTATTATAGATTTATTATAGTCTCTTATTAACAGACAGATGGATACATAGGCAGTTTTTAAATAAACTCTTGTTTGTTACAGATACACACACACACACACACAGACAATTTATAAAATATATTGTTTCTTATAGATTTCTTATACTTTCTTATAGACAGACAAATAGATGGACAGACAGACAGAGACAGACAGATAGATTAAATCAAACATACAATTTATTGATTTAATCCAGTAATAAAAACGAGTACATATTTTATAATAGAAATCAGCTCATATGTGAACTAAAACAGGACTTTGCAGCTGAGCTTTGACCGCATCATGTGTTGATTTTACAGCAGTGCTAAAGTTGTCCTGAATAAAGCACATTTTCTTCTCCTCTCTGCCTCTGTCTGAGCATTTTCACACTGAGCACTAAATGATTATTCTGATGTTTTACAGGCCTCATCAAATTAACTGGCTCAAAGTGGATGATGATTTCCCCTCCCACGCCGTGATTACTGGCACTGATCTCTTCATCGAAAACCTTAACAAGTCCTTCAACGGAACGTACCGCTGTGTGGCATCTAACTTAGTGGGAGAAGCCTATGATGATTACATCCTTTATGTATATGGTATGTACTTGAACTTAATCTGCGTCTGTAAACAACAATCCATAAGAGCAGAGTTTCCCAGACGGTTAAATCTATGGTCTAGGACAAAATGACACTGTTAATAGTTAGTTTTCAGTCTAAGTCTTGGCTTAATCTGTGTCTCGATAACCAGCCCTTGATGTCTACATGCAATTGGCTGTGTAATGTTGTGTTGTGACTAAACGGTTTCAAGTTCCTCGTGCATTTGCTTTTCAAAGAAGCTTGATGTTTTGTTCAAGACAGAACTTATTAACCCTCTATTGCACGATGCTGCCTCTGGCTTTTCTTCATTTAATGCCAATAAAATGGGTAATAATGAAGGGATGATTTAGGATGAACTAACAAAAAGTTTTTGGTCTCACAACATATTTTTCTGGCATAATGTGCCATGTAGAGGAAAGATGACGTACATTTTTGCTTTGGAAAACTGCCTTCATTAGAGCATTTTTATTGATTTTTTTTTTTCATCCTTCAAAAATATGATTTATATTTCTTAGTGAGTAGGCTTTATTTTAAAACATTTTGAGCCACATAAATTATTTGTATGTTTTGAGGAATTGTTTAAATATGTTTTTTGCCCCGAAGCAACGACAGTGGCATATATATGAATGTAGTGGATATGGATTCACTATAATGCAGTTATTATTTTAGTTGTTTTAGTGTCAACCTTTTAAGCATTTAATTCATTTTTTTTTTTATGTAATAATAAATTTATTAGCTTTGTCCTTTACTATTTCTAACATCTTTAGGACTGTGACATCTGTATAACAAAAGAATAAAGAATAAAAGTCTCTCAGAAATATTCACAAATATATAAATGAATAAAAAGAATAATTTCTTTCAAGTGTTGCACAGCATACCTAAAAGGAAACTTCCATCATCCCGGATTATTTAAAAAAAATTGTGTTTGATTTTACTAATGAGATCCATTTTATGCAAGACAAGCGAATCAGAAATGTTTTTTCAACATTGTTTTCATAAAGTAAGCAATAGAGGGTTAATTGTTTTATTGAATATGCTTCACCTGAGAGATTTTCATAGTACTTGTCTTATTAATACACAAAGTGCATTGTGTTGGGCACATGTGTAATCCTTAACAAGGGCTGACAGCTGGATTTTTCAAAGCTTAGGCAATAATTGCTATGACAGTGGCACTTGAAGCCTGGGATTTAACAAAGCTTTGCTTTGCTATAGAAGAATTGAAGTGTTGTTATTGTTTAAAGCAGGTTGTGTTCAGGACCGCTAACGGACTGCCAGCTGCAGCTATTACTGGCTGTCCTGTTGAGCTGAAGACATTAGCCTGAAGGGATGGAAGAGGGTGGCTCGTCATTGAGGCGTTCGGTGCCGCAGTTATTAGCCTCTGATAATGCTGATATCAGAGGCAGGTGTTTGGGAATGATGTCATCAGCGTCCCATCTGCAAATGGGAGAGTTTGTGTGCATCTCATGCCTGGAAGCGGTTCCACTTCCAGGCTAGTTCAATATCTGTCACCTCTACCTGAGCAAGCACCACCTGCTGATTACTCTACTTCCTCTCATTTCACAGGCTTGAGGAATTTAGGTCTATTTGCACCAAGTGGGTGTCTCAGAAAAGAGATTTATTGCCGTCTGGCTTCATATAAGTGGCAGTTTTTAGTTATAATCTCCTAAGCATTGTGTAATAAGTGAATGAGGACTTGGCAAATTATTTTCAACCATAAAAAGCCTTATTATAATGGAAATGATATGCATTTGTAGTGTCACCCTGAGAGTTGCTTTTTCTCTTTAGTACGGCTCAAAACGCTCATGCTTTTCAGTAAATAAAATCGTTGTCTTCTGGTGCATTTCTAAATCAATTTACGCTGGCAATTGTCGAGCATGCCCAACCTCAGAGGACTGAAACAAGCGGAAAGACCTCTTGTAGCTTGATAATCCTGGGCACACTATACTTCTACAGCCTGTCAGTGTTAATTTTAATGCTGCTTCTCGAGGGATGGCAGCTTTGCTTTTGCTACAGAGCATTTCCATTTACTGCCACAGTAAAGCAGTGACTTGTGTTGAGCAAATGCTTATAGCTCCTCAGTCTTTTACTTCGTTTTGTCATTCGTTTTTTCATGAAGAGTTGAACAGGAAGATGTGGTCGTAGGATACATTCATTTCGTAAAATCACAGAAAGCGTGTAGTGTAATCCTAGTGAAACACTGGTCATGCCACGACAATGGCAGCAGTGTAACGCTTTCTCCATTTACACCATTACTGCATTCATGGCCTTCACAAAGGGGACTGTTTTGATGTCGGATCAAATGTTTTTTTAGACTAATGTGAATTTGCAAAGGGACAGATACATGTCACAACCTGATAAGCTTGTAGCGGAGATGCTGAGAGTGAAAACCCATCCTGTTACCGAAGCCTCTGGCACAGATAGTACTCAGGTAATTTGCTCGAAAAAAAAGGATTTATTTGTTTTGGAACTTGAAACAACAATAATTATATGTATATATATATATATATATATAAATAGGCAAGGTATTATTTCTGTCCGATAAGACATGAAGCATATGTTATTAGCTGAAAAGAAAACTTTTACTCAAATACAAAACTCTACAAAAAGACCTATTCAAAATGTTGCACCAGTTCATTAAAAAATAATACATAAATGCATATGCCGTTAATATAATATAATATAATACAGTAAAAGCAGTTATGTGGTGAAATATTACTACTTTAAAATAACTTTTCTATTTGAATATATTTTTATATTATAATGTGTAATTTATGTAAAGTGATGTAAAGCTGAATTTTCAGCATCATTACTCCAGTCTTCAGTGTCACATGATCCTTCAGAAACCATTCTAATCTGCTGATTTGCTGCTCAAGAAACATTTCATATTATTATCAGTGTTGAAAACTGTGGTGCTGCTTAATATTTTTTTCAGCACTCTTTGATAAAAAATAAAGTTCAAAAGAACAGCATTTATTTGAAATATAAATGTTTTGTAACATTATTATCTTTAACACCACTTTAGATCAATTTAATGCATCTTTGCTCAATTAAAGTAATAATTTATTTTTAAGAAATCATAATGACCCCAAACTTTTGAACAGTCATCTGCAGTATCTCACAGAAGTGAGTAAACCCCTCACATTTTTGTAAATATTTTATTATATCTTTCCATGTGACAACACTGAAGAAATGACACTTTGCTACAATGTAAAGTAGTGAGTGTACAGCTTGTATAATATAAATTTGCTGTCCCCTCAAAATAACTCAAGGATTGGCCAAGAATGGGCATCCTCAAACGGAAGATGGAGGAGCGCAAGGTCTCTAACATCCACCAGCTCTGTGATGTCGTCATGGAGGAGTGGAAGAGAACTCCAGTGGCAACCTGTGAAGCTCTGGTGAACTCCATGCCCAAGAGGGTTAAGGCAGTGCTGGAAAATAATGGTGGGCGCACAAAATATTGACACTTTGGGCCCAATTTGGACATTTTCACTTAGGGGTGTACTCACTTTTGTGGCCAGCGGTTTAGACATTAATGGCTGTGTGTTGAGTTATTTTGATGGGGACAGCAAATTTACACTGTTATACAAGCTGTACACTCACTACTTTACATTGTAGCAAAGTGTAATTTCTTCAGTGTTGTCACATGAAAAGACATAATAAAGTATTTACAAAAATGTAAGGGGTGTAGTCACTTCTGTGAGATACTGTATATAAACTGCACAAAATAAAACTGTACAGTTATCTTAAAGAGCTATTTCTACCTGCTCTGACCTTTAAAAAATTAGTTTCATGGGTGTAACATAATGAAGGCAGGTTGAATTCAGTCACATTTAATATTTTTGACTCGAATAAAATCAGTTAATTTAGTTGTTACAACATCTAGAACTTTTTTAGGTTACATGACAAATCCATTTTACAGTGTATATGCTTTGATTTGTAATGACACCACCTTTTATGTTACAATACACCATCAGAATTATCCTCAAATGTTTCTATTTTCTCCATTCCATTTTATATCCCTTTATTCCTTTTTTCTAGTCCAAATTGGACAAAGGAACATCTAGGGCTGCAAATCTAGTTTAAAAGCTTTGTGATATACAACTAAAGTCAACTCCAGTTCAAGAAAAAGACGGAAGTAACATCTTCTCTTTGGTAAATATGATGTAACTGTGCTGCTGCAGGGGATGTCTATGCCATGACTTTATTTAAGTATAAGTATTTTTCAGGGTGAAGAGATACAGAGTTAAAATCCAAATTGATCCAGGTTCTAGTGGTGGTGGGTGGCTCAGTCCGGAAACATCTGCACCGTGAATTGGAATTCCAAGTCCTTCCAGAGCCACTTTTGTTAGCTGTTGTGCCCTGAGCAAGACACTTAACCTCCTTTCACTGCAAGGGCACCCTATGACTCACCCTCATCTCTGTTTGTGATATAAGATCACAGATATACAGTGAAAAAAAAAGTGTGCATACTAGGTGCAGTTAACATTTTTAACGTTGAAAGAAACTTAAAGCAGTGTTCGCCTGCACATTCCCAACTAAATGGACCTGAAAGCTTTTTTGGACATTGACAAATATTCCGCTACAGAGACCTAGCAATACTTTCTGCCAGTTCTAAAACACTAGGTCACTAGGGGCCTTTTTACACCTGGTTACTTCATGCGTTTTTTCTGATCGGATAGCTATCCGATAGTGAAAAGACCAGGTGTAAATGCCCTCCGAAACTCATTTGAGATGGATATAAATCCGATCGCTCAACCCACTTCAGGAGGTGCATGGTCTGGGCCGCATTCCAGACGAAACTGGGCAAGTGTAAATGCATCTGGTTGTTGAAACCACATATGCAAATTTTACTCCTCCCAAAACATTAAATTAATAAACGTGTGAGAGCATGTGTTATAGGCTATATGACATTATAGTCAGATATGGCAGCGCTAATGCAACACGCATTGCCGCAGACAAGTATGAAACTGAAAGTAAGACGCAGACGCTCAACACACAAT